GTTTTTTTTTTTTTTTTTTTTTAGAGAGGTTTTCGCTATAGGGTGCGTGCGCTTGCCAGACAGAGACAGACAGAGAAATCTTACCTATCTCTTCCCTATCTCTTTCTGTCTAGTGCGCGTGCCTCCGGCAAAATTAAAAAAAAAAAAATCAAAAGGGACTTTTTATGGGTTGGAGTTAAAAATAAATCGAATGAAGACAGCATAAACTTAGGTCACTGAAGCAAGGACTTTTGATCATAGATCAGAAGAAGCTATATTACAACCCTCTGGGTCCCCAGGGGGCTATTTCCTTCATCTTCCCTTGCACTGTACCATTGCTTTGGCCCTGAGGCCAGCGGAATCGCTGGAGGGATGACCATGCCACAATCCCTTCTCCTCCGTTCTTCTCTTAGGATCTTGTACATGCACGCACATGCGCCCGGTGTGAGTTTTAAGCCACCGGGTCCGGGACGCAAACCACGGTCGACTATGTGGGAGTCCAGAGACATAGCCATTACGCTAACTGCTGGTCCTAGTATCTGGTTTTTTAAAGTCACTGGGTCTGAACTACACAGCTGGCCATGTGGGATTTACATGCCTTAATCATCATGCCATTGGCTGACTTGGTTTTTACTATTATAATTATTATTTTAGTTTGCTTTAGGGCATGTGCACTCACCAGAGAAAGGGAAGATGAGAAATAATCCCCAAGGAACTGGCCATGCCACAATCCCATCTCCTTATCCTCTTGGAATTTTGGACACACATGCACATGTGCCTGGCATGTTTTCAAGCCACTGGGTCCAGGACTCTACCCATGCTGTTAGCCATGTGGGATCTAGGCATCTTAACCTCCAGGCCAACTGCCAGCCCCTGATTTGGCTTTTCAGGTAGGTTCCCACCTTTGTCTCTGGTTCTCACATCCTACATTCTCTTTCTTGAGTGAGCCAAGTTCTTAAACAGTGGGTTGTATACAGCATATAGCTTTGTTTTGTGTGTGCATGTTTAGAAGTTACATAAATTCATATACTTTAAATACTAAGTTCATTCCTACTCTTTTTTTTAAATGTTGTTTTTTGTTTAATTTTATTCATTGTCATTATTTTATTTTATTTTTTGTAAGTTGATCAGAGAAAGACACAGAGAAGGAAAGTGAGAAAGCATGCTGCCAGGTCCAGGACTTGAACTGCTGTCATCCATGTAGGATTCCAGCCACCTTAACCACCACGCCACCTGCCGACCCTTCGTTCCTATTTTTCCCATTCTACCTCATGATTGAAGGTTGTCTATGGACGTGTAGTCTGTTGCTTCTCACAGACACAATAGTGTTTGTCCCCTACGTTTCACCTGTCTTTTCCATAGTGCTGGACACCTAGCCTGTCCCCACTTTTCACTGCCATAACCGAGTAATGACAGCAGGATGAATCTAACAGTCCCCTTGTTAGAAGTATGCTGTTTATTTATCTGCAATTATTTCTCAACTTTCTCTTCTGTTCCTTTGCTTCCTTGGGTAGAGAATAATACCCACTAGGACCCAATCCTACATTATGAGAAGATGCAATATTTTACTCCTTTTTTTTTTTTTGAGTTTTTTTTTTTTTTTTTTTACCATAGGTTGCATGTACTTGCCAGAGAGAGAGACAGAGACAGAGACAGTGAGAAGGAAAGTGAGAAATCATCTTCCGGGGGAGATGGCCACAACAATCCCTTCTCCATTCTCCTTCTGGGATCTTGGGCACGCATGCACACGTGGCATGATTTTCAAACCACCTGGTCTGGGACTCGAACCACAGTCAGTCATTTGGGAGTCTAGCAACGTAACTGCTATGCCATCTGCTGGCCCCGTGTCTCACTCTTGCAGAGCGACTTCTCGCTTGGCTAGTTCAACTGCCTTTCAGTGGCAGAGGTACACGTTTGTTTATTAAGTTAAAAAAAATAATAGTGATTCCCGAGTTTGGTTTTACCTGAAGGCTGTCAAAGTGGAAGAGAAAAACAAAACAAAACAAAACAAAACCCTGAAAATAAAGTGACACTTAATTTTTACTGAAAAATTTAAAAATGTCGTAAAGAAGTCAGGACAGAGAAAGACGTTGGCAAGATCATGCACTCATGAAACACCGAGATGCTTCCAAACTGAGAAATTGCTTCCCGAAGAAGTAGACACATATATATGTATTTTTTTTTTTGGAGAAGTTTTTGCTATAGGGCGCATGCGCTCACCAGACAGAGAGACAGAGAGACAGAGAGACAGAAAGCAAGAAATCACCCCCTGGGGGGATGGCCATGCCGCAATCCCTTCTCTTCCATTCTCCTCTCGGGATCTTGGGCACACACTTACATGCGCCTGGCGTGAGTTTTAAGCCACCGGGTTCGGGACACGAACCGCAGTTGACTACATGGGAGTCCAGCGACATAGCCATTATGCTAACTGCTGGTCCTAAGAAGCAGACACATTTTGAAGCCTTAACACAATGAATTCTGACACATGACAGGCAAAAATGAAAAGGGAGTAAGTCTGGGAGACCAGGAAAGCCAAATACACACAATCCTTCTGTCCCAGCTCTAAGCTATCCCGTTGTCCAGATAAGACCACTGCCAAGTAAAGCCAGAGGATTCTCGCTGACTGAGGAAAAGAGAACCGTAACATATGGAATACATTTTTATTTCTGAATTTTACAGAGAGGCTATGTAGATCTATTGCATCATTACATATTTTTATGTTATTAACCCACACTATTTAGGGAGAATTTATTTATCCACCCAAACAAAGTCTAATAGATACTTTATTCTCAGCAATCCAATACATAGTAGAAAAACCTTTAAATATATAAAAGATTAATTTGTGCACATCTACATATTTCTAAGGAGCAAACTACGATGGCATTGTGATGACAGTTGCAAACAGTACTGTAACTGAATACTTCAATCATATCTTAACAGACTAGGCGTAGGGACTTCTTCACCATCTCAGAGAATGTCTCAGAGGGTAACCCTATGAAACATGGTATGGCTTCAACAGGAACTTCGGGGTTTTCCTCCACACCCAGCTACTGCTCTCAAACTTTTTCACTCCTTGATAGTATCCCTGGGCAGATTTTTTGTTCTTTCTCTTAATCAAGGAGCTACCTTTTGCTTTGTTAACCCTTTGGTTCCCTTAACTACAAATCTACAGGAAAAGTGCAAAGCAGTTTCCAGAAGTCAGAACCAAAGCAAGAATGCTCTGAATGCAAGAGCTGGCGAGCTGAATGACAGGAATGTCGACACTGTCTACCTATCTGCATGGGATTATTGTTTCAGGGTTTGTCTAGGAGCCTATTTACTTGGATTGAAATTAAGGGGTAACTTTTCTATAGCACGTGCAATTAATTTGTCTCCTTAAGATAATAAAATAGCAGATGCCTAAATATCAGAATGGTTACGCAGCCCATAGAACAGCCTAAACAAAGTCGCTGATTGAGAAAGATGCTGTAATTTCCATGTAGGAAGATGCAGCTTCGAATATCATGCCCTCTGAGTAGTCTTCCATAAACAGGCTCGACAAGTTCAAAGACAATGTGAATGGTGAGATTGCTGCCATGTCTGGCTGGTTATACCAAGGGCCCTCAATGAACAACTCTACATCCTCCAGTTCACAGCACTAAATTGAACAGCTGATTCTTTATTGCTTCCTGGGGTCAGGGCGACCCTACCCATTTCCAATATGGCACACTACTCAGTGAAAGTAGTAAATAGGTGAACAAACCAGAATCTTGGGTAACTGTTTATGTCAGTGCTGTGTTCTGGGAGAGGCATAATTTGAGCTTTCAAAGGTGGAGGTGGGCTGTGAGAGAGGGTGGGCTCCAGAGCCTTTCTAGTGGACAAGCCAGATGGCATAAGGAAGGAGATCCAAAAGAGCACAGAGGTCAATAAGACACTGAGTTGAAAGGACCAAGAGGAGAGCATAGTCCCTATGGAGGCATATGGAGGAAAGAGGGCTGACCCTTTGTCTGTGTGACTGTGTGGACGGTGAGCAGGAGCAGACAGGAAACAGATGAGGTGAGAGAAACTCAGTCCTCTGTGCAAAGATGGCTCCTTCACAGCAGTTCAGTGCTCAGTACTTCCCAGCTCAGCATCCCTGACATCTTTCCCCTGAGGCATTACCACCATGGACCATGGGAGGACCCATGAAAGAGTGCTGACCCTTTGTCTGTGTGACTGTGTGGACGGTGAGCAGGAGCAGACAGGAAACAGATGAGGTGAGAGAAACTCAGTCCTCTGTGCAAAGATGGCTCCTTCACAGCAGTTCAGTGCTCAGTACTTCCCAGCTCAGCATCCCTGACATCTTTCCCCTGAGGCATTACCACCATGGACCATGGGAGGACCCATCCCTCCACTTCATTTTTGTTTCTGCCAGCTCGTGTGTAACAGGTGTAACAAGCATGGCTCCCAGAGTAAGGCGGTGACTTCAGAAACATCTGAAAACAGCTAAAAAGGGGGTCTTAAGAAAACTTCACTTCGGGTCTTGCAATGAAAACTTGAGCCATGCTTTCATGGCTAGGGCTCCTTGTCTGTTTTAGCAGGTCATGTATTATATTTTGCTATCTAAAATAAATTAGTTCACAGCCTCATCTGTTCATCCTTTTAGAGCAATTATCTAAGTGCAAGTTGAGGATGGGGTGGGAAATGATGTGTTTGTTAAAGCCAGGGTTAGTAAACTTTTTCTGTTAAAGATGGTAAATATGTTGGGTTTTGTGGGCCATGTGTTCTGTTGGAACTACTCAACTCTAGTCAAGTGCGAAACGTTGTAAGACAGTGTGATAACAAATTTGTATGGCTGTTGTTTCAATAACTCTTCATTTATTTATTTATTTTAAAATTTGCTCTAGGGTGTGTGCACTTGCCAGAGAGAGAGGGAGAATGAGAAAGCACCCCCCCCACACACACACACAGGGGATGGCCACGCTGCAATCCCTTCTCCATTCTGCTTTTGGGATTCTAAGTGCACATACACGTGTGCCAAGCATGGTTTTCAAGCTATCGGGTTCCAGGACTTGAACTACACAGTGGGCTATATGGGACCCAGCTGCTCTGACCACCTTAACCACCATGCCATCTGGTTGGACCAATAACACTTTGTGGATACTTAAATGTAAGTAATTTTCATATACTATTAAGTATTTTTTAAAAGTCTCCTATCACAAATGTGAAAATCATTCTTAATGGTGGTGGTACATTCGATTCAGCCATTGTTCAGAGTGTCAACCACTGTTGGGACCTGAATTTGAAATCCCACTGGCATTTTGAAGGACATATGATGAGTATAAATGAAAGAGCTTGTAAATGATAGTTCTTACTATCATGTTGAACTTGAAACCTGTGGTCAAATCAAAGTGTTTTAAAGCAGATCACTTTTTATAATGCATGTCAGAGAAATCTGGATACCTGAATGTTTTCAAATAAGTTTTGAGTGGGTTAATACCAGAGACCTTGAGACTTAAAGCATGATTTCTTGAGTTATTTATGGCCTGAAGCACCACATTTCAGTTACCAGAAATGCTACTTAAATTTTGCAATGTGGAGGTCTTCAATATTTGTTAGAGAAATGCTGATTTTTAAAAAGGACCAATTTATATAAAAGATAGTGTCCAATCTGATCATGAAAATAAAGTTGATGTGAATTAGAAAGCCTGTCTTTTCTTTGAGAAGTCACAGAAGACTTATAGGAACAAGAACACAGCGGGCATTTCACTGCTGCTGATTTCACACCGTGTTCTGGTTTATGGCTGTCCTAAGCGGGCTCAGGATTTTGAAGGTGGGGTTACATAGGGGCACCTCTCCTGGGAGAGCTGAGCCCTTGTGTACTTTAAACCTAAAACAATCACCACGGAGAAACCTAGCTAACCTATGGAGACAGATTCACCCACACTTACAGTGGATTGAAGGTATCTTATTGGTTAACACCAGTCTAAGGGCTGACATACCACTGCACCAAGTGTTAATGAAATATTGAAATGGAAGGTCCTACTTTCTTGCTAAGGTTCAACAAAAATCTTTGAGGCACATAATTGGCAAAATAGGAAAATACACACAATTTCATAAAACATTTGGAGTAAACAAATTCCCTTCCTATTTTCCCCTTAGAAATTTAGAATGGCACCAAGTAGTGCAAAGTGGAAAATTGAACAACAGCCCTGTCTCTTCCAGGAAGGTTAAGTTTCAGCAGAACCAGGAAGCAGAGAAGCATCCTCTTCCTCCAGCCATGGGCAACTAGGGCTTTTCTTTCAGCTTCAGGTCAATACTGCCAGGAGAAAAAAAAAGGAAACAAAAGAAACATGAGAAACGGAATGAGAAACATTTAATGATGGTTGGGGTGGCATGTGTTTGCTTTGCTTCTCAAAGGACCTACTGAAAATACATCATGCCAGTTTCTTATACTAGAAAGATCTGGTAAAACACAACCCTCCCCTGGTTGTCAAGCTTTTGTCTAAAATGTGCAATCTGTTCACTAGCACAAAATTGTTTCTGGAAGCATTTTACGCCTTTAGAAAATGATCCAGGGAAGCAAAAGTCTCCTGTTAAGGCTCATTCCTAAAGTTAATTAAGACAAGAAATATTATTGTATTTTAGAAATAAGGGATCTTTCTATTTTTAGTAAATATCTTTTCTTTGCGAAGCAATACTTGATTTGCCTGAAGTAAGTAACATCTGATAATGCTAATATCACAACACAACATTATCAGTAATATCAGTAAGGAGTATAATAAAGAAACAGCACAACAACCAACCAAATAAGCAACAAAATCTCAATACTTTCAGGGCCGGCAAGTAGCATGGTGGTTAAAGGTGCTGGATTCCCACATGGCCAACTGTGGTTTGAGTTCTAGACCTGGCGGCTTGCTTTCTCACTTTCCTTTTTTCTCTCTCTCTGCTCAAATGAAAAAATAATAATAACAACAAGTGGACTTAAATAATTTTTTTAAAAAAATCTCAATATTTTCTAGGAGCCAAAAGACTTTATAGAAGGGTTGAGTTTATTTCAGTGGGAGGAAACTTCGTAACTAAAGAAAAGCTTGTTTTTAAGACTAATAGATGTCTAAACACGTGGAAATGAGTCTAAAACTACATTGAGCCACGTGTGTCTCTTCAGCCTCTTAATGAATGTAGCACAACTTCCCAATACATCCACCCAAGAAGAGAAAAAGCCAAGTGAACAGTAAGAAGGATTTCAGTCATGAAGAAAGAGAAACGATTGATTTGAAAGGGCAATTTGGAAGTTATCTGTGGATTTCATTTATCTCTGCCCTCTTGAGTGTCTCTGTTGCAAGATCACTGTGTTCTACCTTTACAATGTGCGACAGCAGGGGTGCTCATTCTAGTAGCTCTGCAAATAAAGCCATTGGTAAGCCCCACTGCCTGCCACCAGGGTTACAGCAGCAAAGATCTGTCCTTTGAAACGCTCTCCACAATTCCAACATTTCCTTCCTCTGGGGACTTAGCCAACTGACCTACCTTCTTCTTCTATTTATGTATTTTTAAAGTCTTTACCATAGGGTGTGTGCACCAACCAGAAAGAGAAGGAAAGTGAAAAGTCATCCTGGTGGTGGCAGGGGGAAGGATGGCCATGACACAATCCTTTCTCCTCTAGGGATTTTGGGTACGAATGCACACATGCCCAGAGTGATTTTCAAGCTGTGAGGTCCAGAACTTGAACCACAGTCAACCATGTGGGAGTCCATGCCATCTGCTGGCTCCCCCTCCCCTGCCTTCTTCAGGCTTTGGTTTCTTTATCTGCAAAATAGAGCAGACATACCTCTCTCTAAGAAGTAAGTCAGGAATCTTCAGTTATACATAGTGAACATACCATTAGTCTGTTATTATCCGTGTTTTCATGCAAATCACACCTGCTCACTCCGTGTGCAATAATCTTGTCTTCTTGGGGAGTTTTCAGAGCCCTGTCTTGAAGAATGACAGAGTGGACTAGTCATCTTTCATAGTAATCTGCTTAAAGGCCTCAAGTGTCTGGTTTGCTTTCTCATCTTCAAGAAACTTCACAGTTCTGCTTTGGAGGTGTCCTTTGTTTTTTGTTTTGTTTTGTTTATTTGTTTTTGTTATAGGGTGTGTGTACCAGAAAGACAGAGAAAGAGAAAGGAAAGTAAGAAATGACCCCCCTAGAGGGGGTGGTCATGTGGCAATCCCTTCTCCTCTATTCTCACCCAGTGACTTTTTTTTTTTAATTATTTATTTTATTTTTTATTCATTCACTCATTTATATTTTAGTTTTACCAGAGAGAGACAGAGGGTGAGAGTGAGAGAGAGAGGAAGTGAGAAAGCAAGCCACCGGATTCAGGACTCGAACCCTGGCCAGCCATGTGGGAGTGCCCAGCGCCTTAACCACCACACCACCTGCTGGTCCCAGCCCAGAGTGACTTTCAAGCCACCAGGTCTGGTACTTGAACTGCGTAGTTGCCCATGTGAGATCCAGCCATCTTAACCTCCATGCCACCTGTTGGCCGAAGTGTCCTCTTTTTTTCCACTCTGATCTCTAGATCTTTTTGTAACATATTTTCATAAATTAGGTCACTTTTTGGTCTTATTTCTGCTTCTGAAATGTACTTTCCAGCTTCGTTATCCCTGAAGTCAGGGTTAAGTTTACTTTGGAGATTAGAATTTTATTCTCTCTCTCCTGGTGTTAGCTCAGTTTGCCACACTGACCAACAGCATATTTACTCAACCAAATTTTGAGGTACATTGTTGGAGGAGTGCGAACGTAGGTCAAAATATCTGAAATCATCTTCCGGCAAGTAGCATGGTGGTTAAAGGTGCTGGATTCCCACATGGCCAACTGTGGTTTGAGTTCTAGACCTGGCGGCTTGCTTTCTCACTTTCCTTTTTTCTCTCTCTCTGCTCAAATGAAAAAATAATAATAACAACAAGTGGACTTAAATAATTTTTTTAAAAAAATCTCAATATTTTCTAGGAGCCAAAAGACTTTATAGAAGGGTTGAGTTTATTTCAGTGGGAGGAAACTTCGTAACTAAAGAAAAGCTTGTTTTTAAGACTAATAGATGTCTAAACACGTGGAAATGAGTCTAAAACTACATTGAGCCACGTGTGTCTCTTCAGCCTCTTAATGAATGTAGCACAACTTCCCAATACATCCACCCAAGAAGAGAAAAAGCCAAGTGAACAGTAAGAAGGATTTCAGTCATGAAGAAAGAGAAACGATTGATTTGAAAGGGCAATTTGGAAGTTATCTGTGGATTTCATTTATCTCTGCCCTCTTGAGTGTCTCTGTTGCAAGATCACTGTGTTCTACCTTTACAATGTGCGACAGCAGGGGTGCTCATTCTAGTAGCTCTGCAAATAAAGCCATTGGTAAGCCCCACTGCCTGCCACCAGGGTTACAGCAGCAAAGATCTGTCCTTTGAAACGCTCTCCACAATTCCAACATTTCCTTCCTCTGGGGACTTAGCCAACTGACCTACCTTCTTCTTCTATTTATGTATTTTTAAAGTCTTTACCATAGGGTGTGTGCACCAACCAGAAAGAGAAGGAAAGTGAAAAGTCATCCTGGTGGTGGCAGGGGGAAGGATGGCCATGACACAATCCTTTCTCCTCTAGGGATTTTGGGTACGAATGCACACATGCCCAGAGTGATTTTCAAGCTGTGAGGTCCAGAACTTGAACCACAGTCAACCATGTGGGAGTCCATGCCATCTGCTGGCTCCCCCTCCCCTGCCTTCTTCAGGCTTTGGTTTCTTTATCTGCAAAATAGAGCAGACATACCTCTCTCTAAGAAGTAAGTCAGGAATCTTCAGTTATACATAGTGAACATACCATTAGTCTGTTATTATCCGTGTTTTCATGCAAATCACACCTGCTCACTCCGTGTGCAATAATCTTGTCTTCTTGGGGAGTTTTCAGAGCCCTGTCTTGAAGAATGACAGAGTGGACTAGTCATCTTTCATAGTAATCTGCTTAAAGGCCTCAAGTGTCTGGTTTGCTTTCTCATCTTCAAGAAACTTCACAGTTCTGCTTTGGAGGTGTCCTTTGTTTTTTGTTTTGTTTTGTTTATTTGTTTTTGTTATAGGGTGTGTGTACCAGAAAGACAGAGAAAGAGAAAGGAAAGTAAGAAATGACCCCCCTAGAGGGGGTGGTCATGTGGCAATCCCTTCTCCTCTATTCTCACCCAGTGACTTTTTTTTTTTAATTATTTATTTTATTTTTTATTCATTCACTCATTTATATTTTAGTTTTACCAGAGAGAGACAGAGGGTGAGAGTGAGAGAGAGAGGAAGTGAGAAAGCAAGCCACCGGATTCAGGACTCGAACCCTGGCCAGCCATGTGGGAGTGCCCAGCGCCTTAACCACCACACCACCTGCTGGTCCCAGCCCAGAGTGACTTTCAAGCCACCAGGTCTGGTACTTGAACTGCGTAGTTGCCCATGTGAGATCCAGCCATCTTAACCTCCATGCCACCTGTTGGCCGAAGTGTCCTCTTTTTTTCCACTCTGATCTCTAGATCTTTTTGTAACATATTTTCATAAATTAGGTCACTTTTTGGTCTTATTTCTGCTTCTGAAATGTACTTTCCAGCTTCGTTATCCCTGAAGTCAGGGTTAAGTTTACTTTGGAGATTAGAATTTTATTCTCTCTCTCCTGGTGTTAGCTCAGTTTGCCACACTGACCAACAGCATATTTACTCAACCAAATTTTGAGGTACATTGTTGGAGGAGTGCGAACGTAGGTCAAAATATCTGAAATCATCTTGTGGAGTTTAAGTGCAGTCACTTTGTTTCACCAGCTGGGGTTCTGCTAAAAATCGAAACCAACATTCAACCTCAGTAACCCCATCTCAAAGCACACTCATTTTCCTACTGACTTTATTTAAGGTTTAACTCATCTCTTCAACTTTTGATAACCAGAAAGCTGAAAAACTAAAACCTATTTATTTATCTAATAAGAAGGAAGAGACAGACAAAAGTAATAATTTTCTTACAAAGTAATATGGAAAACCACTCTGAAGATTAATTTTTGAACCACAATTATCTTGTGGAATAATAGGAACTCCTGACAATGTTACTATTTTGAGTCTACTGGGATGGAATCATCCTTGATCACACACCTCTTTTAATATGTATAAAAAATTTTTTTAAAAAGCATATTACAAGTTCTAGGATGTGAACGAATAAGTGAAACTCAAACCTAAAAGTGAAGGAGATGCGTGCCTAGAGATACTTTTAAAAATAGTATTCGTGGGACCAGCAGGTGGCATGGTGGTTAAGGCTCTGGACTCCC